TCCGGACCCTTTCATATTCGAGGCACCGTCCGTGAAGAGGGTCCATATCCCCGATGATGTACCCGATTTTAGTAAAAGTTTCTTCTCCACTTCAGGTACGAGGGTTGGTGTAAAATCGGCCACCTAGTCAGCTAAGATTTGAGACTTGATGGCCATTCGGGGTTGATATTCGATATCGTACCCGCCAAGTTCGACGGCCCATTTCGCCAATCGGCCCGATTAATCGGGCTTATGCAAAACGTTTCGGAGAGGATAAGTGGTTAACACACATATAGGGTGACATTGGAAATATGGCTTTAGCTTTCTAGATGCGCTTATTAATGCAAGTGCTAATTTTTCTAAGTGTGGATATCTAGTTTCAGCATCTCCTAAATTCTGACTTACGTAATAGATAAGGAACAGCATACCTTGCTCTTCTCGAACTAGTACTCCACTTACCGCTATCTCGGACACTGCCAAATATAAGTACAGCTTCTCATCCACCTTTGGAGTGTGAAGCAGAGGTGGGTCGATAACTATCGCTTCAATTCCTCCAATGCTTGCTGGCATTCCGAGGTCCATATGAAATCATTTTTCTTTTTGAGTAAGGAAAAGAACCTGTGGCTTCGATCTGATGACCTCGAAATGAATCGGCCCAAGGCGGCTATCCGTCCCCGTTAGCCTTTGTACGGCTTTCACACTATCTACGATAGTGATATCTTTTATGGCTTTGATCATGTCGGGGTTGATTTCGATTCCCCGATTCGATACCATGAAGCCGAGGAACTTGCCCGAGCTGACCCCGGAGGCACATTTTTCTGGGTTAAGCTTCATGTTGTACTTCCTCAAGATTTTGAATGTTTCCTGCAAATGAGTTATTTAGTCCTCTGCGCGCAGGGAATTAACCAACATATCGTCAATGTAAACTTCCATTCATTTACCTATCTGTTTTTCGAACATTTTGTTAACTAAGCGTTGGTATGAAGCTCCAACATTGTTTAGCCCGAAGGGCATAACATTGTAACAGTATGTTCCAAACTTAGTGATAAACAAGGTCTTCTCCTGGTCCTCCAGGTTCATCTGAATTTGATTGTACCCGGAGTAGGCGTCGAGAAAGGTAAGGATCTCGTGGCTGGCCGTGGTATCGATCATGCAATCGATGTTAGGTAGTGGAAAGGAGTCTTAGGTCATGCCTTGTTTAAATCCTTGTAATCTACGCACATTCTAAGTTTGTTCCCTTTTTTAGGGACTACAACTACGTTGGCTAACCATTCGGGGTATTTTACTTCCCGAATGGACCCTATTTTAAGAAGTTTAGTTACCTCATCCTTTATGAATGCATGCTTCACCTCGGACTGGGGCCTTCTTTTTTGCTTTACTGGTTTGAACCTGGGGTCGAGGCTCAGCCGGTGTGTTGTTATTTCTGATGGGATCCCTGTCATGTCTAAATGGGACCAAGCAAAACAATCCATGTTATCGATAAGAAATTGAATGAGTTTTTTCCTGAGTTCGGGGGTTAACCCCGTTCCCAAGTATACCTTACGTTCGAGTAGATGCTCTAATATCACCTGTTCCAAATCTTCGACCGTTGACTTGGTTGCATCCGATTCTTCGGGAACTTCGAGGAGTAAGGAAATCCTCTTCTTCTTCGATTACCTGTTTCTCCAGTTCAGTCGAAGCTGGTGATGGTGATTTCTATTTGGCCATCTGTTTCTTTTTGGTGCTCGATTTTCCTTAGGTCGAAGGCGCTGGTATCGGCGTCACCTCATCAACTGCAAACATATCCTTTGCAGTGTGTTATTCCCCATAAACTGTTTTCACACCATCCACTATGGGGAATTACATTATTTGATGAAGGGTCAACGGTACTGCCCTCATTTTGTGGATCCATGGCCTCCCGAGTAGTGCATTATATCTCATGTCGCCTTCAATGACATGGAATTTTGTATCTTGGATGGTCCCGGCCACGTTCACTGGTAGGATTATCTCCCCCTTTGTTGTTTCGCTTGCCATGTTGAAGCTATTTAGGACTCGAGATGCGGGCACAATTTGGTCCTGCATGCCGAGCTGCTCTACGACCCTTGATCTGATTATGTTTGCTGAGCTACCTGGATCCACTAGAACACGTTTAACTTGAGTTTTATTTAGATAAATAGAAATTACCAGGGCGTCGTTGTGAGGCTGAGAAATGCCTTCCGCTTCCTCGTCACTGAACGATAAGATGCCCTCGGGCACATAACTCCGAGTCCGTTTTTCTCTGGTAATCGACACCTTGGTACGTTTGAATATAGGCCCTTGTGGAACATCGACCCCGCCAACGATTATATGGATTACATGTTGCGGCTCTTCCTGCTCATTCTTTCTGTTGGCATCTCTTTCTCTAAAGTGATTCTTAGCTCGATCACTGAGAAACTCTAGAAGATGGCCCTCGTTGAACAATCAAGCTACCTCCTCCCTCAACTGTCTGCAGTCTTCGGTCCTATGGCCATGCGTGCCATGATATTTACACATCAAGTTTGGATTTCTTTGTGAAGGATCATTTGTATAGGTCTGGACCATCTGGTGTCTTTGATCCTGTTTATCAAAACCATTCTTACTCATAAGTCCCCGAGAATTCTGCTCTCGATCATTCCGAGGAGGATTGCACCCCGAACCGTTGTTTCTTCGATCTACGACATATGGTTGATATCGTTCTCTGTTCGACCTCGGTTCCCTGTCGGTATCCCTCAGGGCTTTAACTGCCAATCTATTTGGATGAACTAAACCCGAGGGGGCTCCCAATTGGTCGTCCTCAACCCTGATCTTCGATTGGTAACGGTTATGTACATCTGCCCAAGTTACAGCTGGATACTCGATCGGATTTTGCTTCAATTATCGTGACGCGATCGAACTCCGCTCGTTCAACCCCTGGGTAAAAGCTTGCACGGCCCAATCATCCGAGACCGGTGGTAATTCCATTCGCTCTATTTGAAATCGAGACACGAACTCTCTTAGCATTTCATCACTCCTCTGTCTTATCTTAAAAACGTCTGATTTCCTTGTTGCAACCTTTATGGCCCTGGTGTGTGCCTTCACGAAGGCGTCTGCTAACATAGCAAACGAATTGATAGAATTAGGTGGCAAGTTGTGATACCAGATCATCGCTCCTTTTGACAAAGTTTTCCCAAATTTTTTCAACAAAACCGACTCGATCTCGTCATCATTTAAGTCGTTTCCTTTAATCCCGCACGTGTACGAGGTGATGTGTTCATTAGGATCATTCGTCCCGTTGTACTTAGGTATATCTGGCATACGGAACTTCTTAGGAATGGGCTTCGGAGCCGCACTCGGAGGGAATGGCTTTTGTACGAATTTTTTGGCATCCAAACCTTTTAAGACTGGGTGTACCCTCGGTATTTGATCAACACGGGAGTTATACGTCTCCACTTTTTTGTCATTATCCTCAATCTTTTTCTCCCCCGACTCGATTCTTTTGGTAAGTTCCTCGAGCATCCTCATAATCGTGGGATCAGTTCCCGAGCCATTACCGTTTGATCTTTCTGGCACCGGCTCAGTGCGGCGAGTGATTTCTGGTTCGACCACACTTGGAGTTTTATGCTAACTTTGAAGCTGAGCGATAGCAACCTGTTGAGCTTATAGCATCTCGAATATTACTTGGAGGCTGACTCCACCATCTCCTATACCCTGTGTTCCTTGGCCACCAGATCGGGCTTCCCTGCGTACACTTCCTCCGGGATCTGCGCCTAAATCCGCATTCAAAGCGATGTGTGAACTAACATCGACTGGTTCCACAATCGGCTTTCCTCGTGGTTAATCGGTGGCACACCGGCTCCCGGAGCAGCTACATTGTTGTTTTCCCCATGAAATCCAAGACCGTCATCGCCGTGTATAGGTGTATTTTGTGAGTTTGACATGTTTTAACCTGAGAACAAGAATTCTTGACAAGAACAAGTGTAAAAATAACGTTTGTTATCAGAATCAGTACCGAAATCATCACTATTATCTTTAGCCCCACGGTGGGCGCCAAACTGTTTACCCTAAAATCCGAGTAACAATTAAACTTGTTTTGTGATTTTAAAGATATGTGATTTAATCCAATACTAATTGATAAACAAAGAATGTAATGTGTAAACTTAAGAGTAAGGCAAATCAAATCAGTCGTATAAGCAGACCTTGACCTCGAGCAAGGGCGACCTCGAGGTAAGTGAACAAGAACAACAAGAACAATAAAATAATAAGACGATTCAGATGAACAGTAAGTAAGAAAGCGAAAGTGTATATTCTCTTCTCAATCATTCCTCCTTTACAAATGATTGGGGTCCCTTTATATAGTAGGGGAATCTTAAATGAGGTACAATTTTAATTGTAGTAGGGAATCTTATTATACAGCTATCTAACCGCCTAGTACAAATCCATTCCGGAATTTACGTCGTGATCTTAGGGCCACTGAGGGAATCTCGCTCTTTCTGTTATGGAACCATAACGGTATTATCTCGAGGTCGGTCATACTTGGCATCGGTGTTCATCAAGCACTTCGATCTTCGAAGCTTATACTTTGTCATTGGGCTCGCGCCTGGTCTATTTCGATCTTGCTTTCGAAGTGACCCTCGAGCCCACGGAATCGGGCTTACCTGATTTCGACCGTATACAAGGTCTTTAAGAGGAACGCAGATGCTATTGTATTTTATATGGATACACGTGTATTTGTATTAACCTCTGAGTTAGGCCCGCCATTATAGTACTATTTCAACTGCTTTTTGTACAACCTTTTATTGCTGTGTTCGTACAGCAAACTCCCATTTCTAATATATAGTAATAGTAATACTGCACATTGCATATATGTCTAGATAAATTGGATAGTAAAGCGAGCGAGGATGAGTATACAAGATAGACAGAGCATAACTAGGACTCAAACAAGCATTGAATATCTTATAGTGATAGCAACTTTTCAGTATACGAGATAGCATATGACTTAAAATTACATTTATTAAGAAAATGTCTGCATTTTCATCATTGGCGCCTCAATCTTGATCATGATCATGTTCATTATTGCCTTCATCTAAAAACATCGGATCATCATTCCAATAAACAAGCTTATCCCTGCCACAAATTAAAGAAAAAATATTTATTCATATTAATACCTTTATCATATTGCAGATTTGCATATGCGTAGGAGTTGCATTTTGCATAATGGTAAAAGAACTCACGTCTTCATCAAGAATCTTCCTTGTTTAAAATAAATGGTCGGGTGAGGAACTGTAATCTGGTGAAATGATAAAATTTTATAAAGGTAAAACTGCAAATGCTCTTGTACGTTCAGGAAAAGGAACAAATTTTGGTGATATATATATCTTACAAGTTTCACCCCTAGCAACATCCCACATTTAACGCAGTAAGTATCAGCTACGGTTTTCCCATTTTCTTTTTTATGGTGATTCTCCTTGTCCACTTCTACGTTAAACCTGCATATTACAAATCATCTTTATTACCCTATTTTTCAGAATTATTGCATGGAAATCATGAGACTTACACTTTATTAAAGACCGCTCTTCTCTCATCTTCCACCTGCAAAACGTATAACAAGTTGCAAGAAAAACTCAGAACGATTGAACAAAGAGATAATATAACATATATGCAAGAAAGACGCAGAGCGAGAAAGAATCTGTACGTTATCAACGTGATCCTCGACTAATCCAATTCGGGTTTTGCATATCCGACAAAGGAAGAAATCCTCTTCTGGAAATTCATCGTATTCAACAAGAAAGATCCTTCCCATTGTATCAACTTTGTCAATCAAGAAGCAACTTCTTCAGCTGGGACCTGTAAAAACTGGGAAAAATCAAAGTGCTGAAAAATTGAGTTTAAGAATGAATGTAACAAGAACAGAGCTGGTGGACAATGAGAGTTCAAGAAAGTAAAAGAAATGAGTTGGCTTTTTAACAGAGTAGACGCCTACTTTTCAAATGTTGAGGCTGAACTGATATAGAAAAATTAGTTCTTGATTCTTGAATCCAAGTTCAGAGGAGTTCTATCGTTGGCCGTTAACTCATAAAGGAGGGAAATTTGAAATAAGTTTTCTTTTAATATTTTTTTTTTCCTCAAGAAGATTGTACAATTTACCCTCCAAACTATATTCTCTTTTTCATTTATGACGCTAGTCTTATTGACATTTTACTTTGCATATGCACGGACTTAAAATTGTATAAAGAATAAATCCATTATGTTTCATTTTTCTTTTCTTTTTCCTTTTCTAATGAGTAAAACAGTTTCATTTTGTTAGGTGTTAGGTGTTTGCCATAATTTTCTTACCATATTTGGTTTTTCTATCTCTTGAAGGAAAAGGGCAATATAATTACCTTAACTGAGTTTTCCTTTTTGTAAAAGGAAATTATAAATCTCCAATATTTGGCTAGTCCTTTTTCTTGTAGGAAAAGGTTTGGACTTCTATAAATTGAGGATCCTTCCTTCACATTCAGCAGCATCCACAATGTAGCCATAGGGGGCTTGAGAGTTGTGTTTAGGGGGAGAACTTTATGGGACAAGTGTTAGTGTGTCACTTGTGTTTGCCTCTTCGTGAGGTTGTTCTCTCGATATTTTGTACTCTCTTTTTATTATAGTGGATTGCTCATCTCCGTTGTGGACGTAGGTCAGTTGATCGAACCACGTTAAATGTTTGTGTCTCTTTTGGTAGATTTCTCTTTGTTATGTGTGGTTTATCGTCGTTCAAGGTTTGGTTTGCTAGCTTCCGCATGACACCTGGTTTTATCGATCCTAACACATTTGGATCTGACTCTTCCTCTTACGGTTCGCTCCATTTCCTCAAGTACCTATTGGAATGATTGGTACTTGTTTAGTTGTTAAATTTAAATTTTGAAAGCCGAGATTAAAATAATCTAAGAAGCATCCTAACCATAGTTAACAGATAGATTTTAGATCTCCAATATTGGTAAGAAAATGATTCGTGTGCTTTTTCAAAAACAATTAATTTTACTATACTTAGGATACTTATTACATGAATTTAATTCAGATAATTATACTTAAACAAGACAAACGTTACTCATCCGTACTAAAGTTTGAAGAATTGAGAGGAATCGAATCCATAACATTTCAAAAATATTACCGTTGAATGTTGAGGTGTCAGGGCGAGTTTAAAATTCAACTATTGAGGCACCTTTAGGATTGCCTAAGCGGAAAAATCCTGATGCCCCAAGGCTTGGGACAGCACAAACAATATCTACTAATAATGTGTAGCTGAAGCAGACTCGATATTCGACTCTTAAAAGTCTCATTATTGTCAAAGGCTAAATTCTTGACAGTTGACTTGCATGCCAGCATGTAAAGAAAGGTAGAGCACCTTTGGCCAAGCTGTCAAAAGCTTATTATTTTGAAAAGCACTTTTTTTCAGAAGTACTTTTTTTAAAAGTACGTTTGAAAAAAAAAACTGTTTGTGTTTGGCCAATTCATTTAACAAGTACTTTTTGCAACATTTGGTAAATAATTTGTGTTTGGCCAATCATTTCAAAAAGTGCTTTTGAGTGTCAAATTACCAAAAAAGATAGTACCAAGGTCGTATAATTCTTTCAAATATAAAAATGAACTTACATATTTATCGCAAGAGACTTTCATTATCTTTTTATTTTATTTAATTAAAATATAAAACATAAAACAAACAAAGATATTAAAGTTTAAATCAATTTAACATATATAGTTATACTAAAGTAATGATATTATCCAGTATAATTACTTATTTTTATATGATGTTTGAATAATTAAAATAACATCATTCAGTATAAATTAGAAGTCTATCCACAAATTACTATATATTGATAATCCATCATGAAATAATAAGTAAAGTCACTCACACATGATAATACTTCTCAACAATTTCATCTCTACTTCAATCACAAACACTTCCATATTAGTAGAAGACTTGCCTCGCATTTCTAAAGGAATATCAGAAGGCTGATCTCCTTCATCAATCTCTGCAGTAATGTCTTCGTTAGCATAATAGTTGAATTCTTTATCGGTAAAAGAATGTTGTCGGATGAAATTATGTATAGCCATGGTAGTTGTAACTAGATGATTTTGAGTGTCAAACTTGAAAGATGGCATTGAGCCTAAAATAAAAATAATTTTAAATATATATATATATATATAAAAAATTCGTAAAAGAAATAGTTATGTATGTTTAAATTCTAATTCAATAGAGTAACTAAATTATTAACAACACATAATGTATAATTTATTTTTATTTTTTTAAAATTTAAATTAAAAAAGAAACTAATTATTACCTAACCGTACTAACTTTGTCCTAAAATGCCAAGTGGCCTATTATGAGGCTGCCACTTGACTAAATATGGATGCATTTTCTTCTTCTTTTAATAATATATAGATAGATTATGCAATGCAGTTGTAAATTTTTTACCTATTTGTAGGTCATTTTCACAAATCAGATTTGATAAATGTTTTAAAGATTCGGGAACTAATAGCATATAATAGAAGAAATTATAAATAATTATTTGTAGGAAAAGAATTGATAATCCAAAGAAGATGCAGATAATTTGATTTACTGTGAAAAAAGAAGAAGATAAGACATTACACAAAGAAAAGATCCAAAAAAAAAAGTCAATATAAAATTTTAAAAGTTACGATGTGATTCATATATATGATATCCTTAATTTTAATAGGATGGTAAAAACAAGAAACAAAAATGAAAAGAAAAAACTTAAATTAGTACGGGATAATTTGGAAAATAAAAATTTATGGTGAGAATAGTTTTGTCTTGAATAAATTAATTTTCTACTTCTGCTTCTGCTTCTTGGAAGAAGCTAGAATTTTCTGCTTCTTCCCAAAAGCAGAAAAACTGCTTCTACTACTGGCAAAAAGTACTTTTCTGTATTGTCAAACAGTTCAAATTTTTTAAAAAGTACTTTTTTGGGGAAAAAAAGTACTTTTGGCCTCCCAGAAGCTTGGCCAAAGAGGCTCGTAGTACAAGAATTCAAACATACAATAGAAAAAAATTCATCGTCAAATGCTTTATACCAAAGCTGAAGTAATAATATGTACTGTAATACCAAAACACCCAGAAAAATATATCTCATAGTAATGAATCAAGTTTTTAAAGAATATGAAGTGCATGCAGTGAAAGTGTCTATATTTGTAATAAGATGTGGTTCTACATTTTGATCAGCATGATCAATTGGTTGTCAATCTCTGCATTATCATCAATAGTTGGTTCATATGGCTGGATTATGATCATGTTCATCAGCATCGCCAACTTGATTATTAGGAACCTGATCATTAACGCCTCCAACTTGGTTATTAGGAACCTGATCATCATGTTCAATATTGTATTCTTCAAAAAACATTGGAACATCACCCCAATAAACAAGCTTGTTCCTGCCGTAAAAATACTTATTTGTATTAATACCTTACAAATCATTATCACATTGCATTTTGCATATTGATATGAAACTTACAATTTCATCAAGAATCTTCCCTCTCTAACATACAAGGTCTGTCGGGGGACTGTAATCTGGAGAAATGAATAAATTCTGTTAAAAAAAAAAAAAAGAACTAGTTCATGAAATGGAAAATTGGTAATTTAGTACTATCTTACAAGTTTCAAACCAAGCAACATTCCACATTTGACACAGTAAATATCGGCAACGGTATTTCCACTATCTTGTTCAACATACTTGTGGTCGTCCAGTACTTGTACATTAAACCTGCATATATACAGACAAATGTTTAGGCAAATGACAAAATCCCAAGTTTCAAAAATCAGGAGACTTACACTTTACTTAAGACCCCTGTTGTTTCATTTTGAATCTGCAAAATGTACCAGACAAAAAAAGTGAGTTTTGTGCTCAGTCAAGAAATATAACAGAAGCAGCTATAGCGTACTGAATTCACAATTCATGACATAAACATCTGTTGAAATTAAGCAATTGAATCTGTATGAACTCAGTAGAAAAACTGTTTTCCTAATTGAGTAGTTGAGTACAATTCAAGAATAACAATTCAAGATTATCCTAAAAATTTAGAGTTTCAAGAAATGTATGCCAACCCACAGAACCATTTGGTGCGTACAAATGAAATTGATAAAGAAAAACTACAAGGAAAACTCAGAACTTCAACAACGAAAATACAAAACAGATACAGAGAGAGAGAGAGAGAGAGAGAGAGAGAGAGATGAGAAATCTGTACGTTTTCAATGTGATCCTCTGTTGTTCCTATTCGGGTTTTGCACACATTACAATGGATGAAATCCTCTCCTCGAACTTGATCGTTTTCAACAGTAAACAGCCTTTCCATTGTATCAACTTTCTCAATCTTTTCAACTCGTACACCTGCCACAGAACAAAATTTACTTCAACAAAGTTCAAATTGGAAAAGAAAGATCAAAGATACGCTACTGAAAATCGAATTCACCAATGGAAAAAGACTAGCTTTGAACCAATGTAACTAATTCAAGAAAGTGATAAAATGGGTGGGATTTATGATAGAAAGATCAGTTCTTGATTCTTGAATACAAGTTGAGAGGAATTCTGTCTTTACCGTTACCACTTGTTCCTTTCTCTTCTTTCGTTTCTTTACTTATAAGTAACACAGTTGTATGTTAGTAATGTCACTGCTGTGTGGATTTCACAAATCAAAAGCAGATTATAAGGAATTATGAATTGTTGTAATTATATACGCTAGGAAATTTGGTAATTTGGGTCAGCAAAAAAATTCAAATTTAGAAATGGAGGGGGGGTTGAGAATTTTTCTAAA